TGAAATTTTTACTTTTTAATTTTTAATTTTAATGTATTCCTAATTAATATTAATAAAATAATAATATAATGTAGTGTTGTATAATTTATATTTACGTACTTTTTTAATATACTCATTTTAAAATTTTTTTGTCATGAATAAACACATTTTTTTTTACATATCTTGTATTTTTAATTACATATTTGAATAAAATTAAATACATATATATGTACATATTTTTGAATTTTTAATACATACAAATCCGCACCCTAGTAATATATATCATAAAATGATTGAAAAAAAAATAATATTATTATTAATATAATATGTTTTATTTATTTTAGTATGATCTTTAAATTTTTTAATTGTTTAAATATTTACGATATGATATGTGGAGAACTGTCATAATATTGATAACGACTATACACCCCTAATGATACAAATAGGATTTTTTTAAATTTTTAATTCATAATTCTGTAAAATATTATAAGTAGTTCATTAAAATAAAAAATGATTTAATTAATTATGCTCAGTATAGGACGTTTTGTTAAGAAAAAAAAATATAATTGAAAAAGTCACTACCATCATCTTACATATTATGTCTGTGTACTGTTACGCACTCGACTTCTACTTTATGAATGTCATATGATGATTTTAAATAATATAATAATTGTTAACAATGGTCTTATGTATACGACTATTAATATAATATATGAAATTAAAAATGAACAATTATCAAAAATATAACATAATACGAACTATTGTAATGATAATGTCTATACATTAACTTTGCTTTATGATTTTTTTAAAATTTTTTTAATACAACAATCTTCAGGACAATATTATTAGTATAGCTGATATAATATAATAGAACGATTTTAATAAATTATGCTCCGTAGTATTATGAAAAGAGGGATTCAAACACCACCTCCACCTCCGCCAATCAACCATGGCCGCCCCGCAGCCGATCGCGAGACATACATGTTTTCAGTTATCACATATTATTGTTATCAGTTACATTATTTTTATATACGTACTCGGCTTATATTTTACCGCCGTAATTGTTATCAATCATACCTTTGAATTTAATCGTGCATAAACATATATTTTATGTGTATCACCTGCTACCGTATTCAAATAAATGACTATTTAGAAATTTGTACGACCTGCTCGTGTCGCCAGGATGTCGTAGACTTTTAATAGCCACTATCTTAACAATAAAAGATATTTGACCACTATGGTGCCTTGAAAACATTATACGTTTTTAATTAAATATCGATATTCACACAATATCTTGCAAAAATGCAACATAATCATATGAATATTTTCACAACGTATAGTTGTGTACTTGCTGAAATAATATACAAAAATGTACATTAAACCTAACCCTGATACGATCTGCTTATTGTGCCCGACCGGTCGCTAGGATGTCGCCGACTCATAATGTATATCCCTACACCACCACCTTTCTCATAGTAGGATGAAATAGACAGTTCTGGATCTCCTACCCCTTAAATTTTACATATAAAAAGATAGCAAAAAATTATAGGCAATTCGTAGTACAGACTCCTCCGAAACTAGCAATAATTACTCAATATAGGCAACCCGTAACACACATTGACCTAATTGAATCACAACCGCCACCTGATCCGACACGTAACCGACATATATTTTACCCCTTTCACATAAAATACATTCCCCCCCTATTCCCCCTTCGAAAAAAAAATATAATATTCTGGTGAAAATTTGTATTAACTAAATCACACACTTGACTGACATATATTTTTCCCCTTACCAATATTACCACCCTTTTTATTTACACACACGCACTCGCACACACACACATAATATACCTAGATTAATATACGATTATACGAATAGACACCCACCAAAGCATATGCTTTTTACATTATATCTCACCTACATACGCTTTTCACATAAATATCACCTACATATACACATATTCACGTTTATAATACATATGCATACCTACATATATACAACCTTACATATTATACAGTTTACATATCAATAAGACATAGGTATCGCACAGCATACGTTCATATAGTACACTAGTTATACATAGTACACACTTATAAATACCTTGACCATACATCAGAATTCAATATAAAACACACATAGTCACAATTACGCACATTCCAATCTATTCCTGTCGCCCTTTCCCGACGCTGTTGACCACCGCATTATACGTTTGTATGACAACAGACCTGTAGAGACATGTCCGAGTATTGTCGGTGATTACTAGCAAGAAATTAGTGCATGTAGCAAAATTTAATTAGTCCGTGTACTGCCGTCTATATGTATGGTCATGTATTGTCGTCCGAGTTCTAAAGTGTTTTTTAAGTGTATTCAAATATTTTAAAAGTATCATCTTGGTACACCATAGTTCGTTTTTCGTACGTTAGTTCTGTTATTGTACTCTGTGGCTATTAAATCGTTTAGATTTCACTGTTATTTAAAATACATTATATTTTACTATATTTCATTACCCATCTATTCTGTGAAGGGTAAAGTATTGTTTCGCGAGTTCGACTAATGTTCTTAAGTATTTAACGTAATCATGTTCAAGTGTAGTATATGTGATAAACCCTTTACATTGATTAAAAATTTACGCAGACATGACAAGTCACATGATGTACCTGATAAGATTCCTTGCAGTATATGCTCAGAAATATTTACACGAAGAGATAACCTCATCAGACATAGCAAGGATAAACATCGTAAGTAATTCAAAAAGTCTTCAAATGTATTTATATATTTTTTTTGTGTATCCGTTTTTTTTTTTTATTTTTATCTAATTGTCTCCATTCGTCATAGAGTTTTTTAATTTTTGTTACGCAATTTGATCGATCTTGAATAGGTATACGTGCTTTTATCCTAAAAATTTGACATTCATCAAACACAAGACTAGCGCTATCGTGTAATGTTAGTTTGACTGTACGCATATTGTAAAAGAGAACGCTCAAAATATCTCTTTTTGATGGAAGCTTACTACCGGTTATTTGATTTTTCATAACACCAACCAAAAAAATTAACTGTCTTGACATAATTAAATATGTGAATTAAAATGTATACTAAATGTAAAACAATATTAAACAATATTTTAGAATAACACTACTATAATCACTATACGTTTAACCACACCGCTGTACACTCAGTGAATAACGGAAAATTAAACATGTAAGCTAATTTCATTTAGCCATTTAGGTAATAGGTATTTAATGACACCGATATTGATGACGATAAAGTAAAGTGGTTTGGTCATAAATCGTTTTCAACACATAGTTATCGCAAACAAATATCTTTATTACTGAAAATGATAAAAAAATCTACTACCTGTATCTTCTATCGATTTGCTAAAGATAATTATTATTAAAATATTATATAATCCAAATATTACTACAATACAATGGTCACTTCACTGCAAATTTCGCAATCACCTAATTTTATTGTATTTTTAATATTTTATCAAACGCACTTGAATAAATATAAAAAATCTATTTTGCAAAATAAATAAAATATTTCGTACTTTACTATTTTTCTTGGAAAATAACAGACTTACCACAAATTTTGTAAATATATTTTTTATGAGGAATACTAAAATATATAATCAACCCTCTATACATTTTTGCGCTAAGTACTATAGTTTTTGAGTTAAACTAAAAAAACTACAAAACTACCCTCTATGGCAAATTTTCAACCCTCTTGAGGCACGGGAAGGGGGTGAATCATCATGACCAAATTTAGCCTAAACAACTTACTCATTGTAATGAACAAAATGGCGGGTACCTGGCTAAAAAATATTTTAAAAAAAATTCTTCTTCTATAACTAAGGACCACCCTAATGTATATATATACATTATATATGTGTAAGAGCAAAAACAACTATGATATAGAGCTCTCAGTCATAGTAATAATACACAACGTTCTTTTGTGTGGCATGAAACAATAGTAAGATGTATATACGCTGGCGTTCGTAATAGTTTATTAAGATTTTTAGATAAATAGTATGCCTATTTATGTTTTTATTGGTATTATATATTAAATGTGTATATGTTTTTCATAGAAAAATAAGATATTCAAATTTTATTATTATGTATGTATATGGTCATATATATTTATTAAAATATCTATGTCTATACTTAAAAATATATATAATAAATTAACATTATTTGTGTATGTTTTTTAATAATCGTTTGAAAATATTTTCAATGAATTTAAGATATTATAACATTTATCAGAATTATTCAACAATTTTACGAACATTCTTAATACTTATGTATGCTCTTAACAGGGTTAACTATGATAATTGTACAGGATTTTAGCTAAATTATGATATTTTTTACTAAGAAGTGATGAAATTTCCGTATGTTTTGATGTATTTTCAATGAGATGATTACATTTGTATATGTACCCAGATAGCAAAAAAATGTTAATTGAACATTTAAATAATATTTAAAAAAATATATTTACATTCTTGTAACATTTCCAGATGGTTATATAAAAATTATTAAATGTTCATATAACATTCTCTTATGATTTTTTGGCCACAAAAATAATATTATTTCAAAATTACTTTTATAATATTACAAGAATATTACTTGATTATTACTATAATGTTACTTCAACATTGCAATAACCTTTTTAAATGTTCTTAAAATGTTTGGTGAAAGAAGCTTCAATAATATTTCAATTATGTAATGTTTACTGAACTCTATATATACTAGCCAAAATATTTGCAATATAAATTGTAAATCACTTATTATATATTTCTATAAATATACATAACATTGCAATTGCCTAGTAGTAGAATGTTAACTTACCTATTTCAATTTAGGCTGACTACACTCATATCAATTTCACATTTCAAATGAAAAATTGAAAAGCTTAGGATTTAATAATATATAGGTAACAGCACATTATGATTGAAATAATAACATTTGGTTGTAAATTTTTATTTTTATTAATTTTTCAATCAAAAATATTTAAATTAAATCTTATTAAGAAATTATATTAGATTCCTCTTCCTCGGATTGTTTTTTATTTTTGATTCTGAATGGGGCGTGAGAAAGCCATGTTCCTAAAGGTATATCAATTTCCTTCTCTGTGTTGTGCTTGTATTTAAGATGTTTTCTCAACGCGTCTGAAACAAATCATTAATATTATAAGTATTCATTATTATATTTCATCAAAGAATAACAATTTTTAAAATATTAAAAATTGGTAAAAGAGTCTATGAAAGTTAGTTACATAATAAATATGTAATAATTTTAAAACAAGTTTAATTAAATCAGTTATTCTAAATAAATACATAAATTATAACAAAAATGAAGAGAACAATTTTAATTTATTGTATTTGAAGTCAATAATTTTAATAAAATATTAAAATGTTATATTGTTTGGGTGAACTAAGTACAAAATAATATAAATATATAATACATTGCTTACCTATAATCAAACGATAACTTGATAAACTTGTAAAAGCTTTTTTCTTTTTGAAGCCATACAGAGAATAATTAGATAGGAATACATCATCAAACATGCGCACCATAATTCTTCTAATACTATTACCAAGATCTTTATTTCCTATTAGTAATGCAATTTTACCCACCTTAAAATAATAATATATATTATATAATATAATAATTAATTTATCAAGTTGTTAATTGTATTAATTTATATTATTTATATTAATTTATATTATTAATTTATATTTATAGTATTACCATTGATTATAGAATAGACAGATAGGCAATGTAATGTTAATATTTGGTGACCATTCATATGATGCAGCCACTATGGAGCGCTAGTGCAGAAAATGATGCAAAGGTGGTGTACCCTCTCATAGGTAGGTAAGCAAAGCGGAGGGTGTCCAGATTCTAGGTGGTGGTACCACTACCATAGTATGGTGAGGAAGAGCGAGGGTACAATAGTTGTCGTTCTAAAAATAGAATATATTATTTCATAATTCGTTATCGCATATCCGATGACCGATATCATTAAATATCCAATTGACTGCTGTTTAGTGTTTACTGTTTAGTCGTTTCTTGTTTGTGAGAGACAATTTTTGGGTTACCAACTCTTACTGTGATCTATGTGATCAGTCTTTAATACAAAAAAAATTTTCATTGTTTTGAGTATAAAATTATCTGTCTGACAATAAATGTCAGTATGTGAATTGTGGCAAGTCGAGGAATTTGTTTCCTAATTTACGACTTTATCGTTTTCCAAACGACGAGAGAAGAGAAGTTTGGATAATAAATTTGGGTAAATAATATTTGATTGATCTTCACAGGAAACACAATTCTATTTTCGATTGAACCCGAAAAACTGCATAATAGGTACATTTGTCAAGAGCATTTCCCACCTGAAAGTTTTACAAATTTTTCTAATAAAAACCATTTAACTAACACTGCTATTCCCTATTATTATAATAATAAATCTGAGCAACAGCTATGTACATCTTTAAACTTAAATGGAAATCATAAGCCTGAACAAGAATTTATTTAAATATCAACTCCAACTAAAACATATACACATTTAAAATCAAATATGGTAGAGTTAGTTTTCCCAAGTCCCCTTTCTTTACTTTCTTCTACACAAAAAGCTAAAATAACAAATATAATACACATGTCTAACCCCAATTTAAGAAGAAAACTTGATTCAATTGAAATAGATACTCCTAGAAAATTGAATTTAAAGCAAAAATTACAACAAAAAAACAAAATAATTCATAATAAAATAGTTCATATTTTAAAATTAAAAAAAAAAAAATAATCTTAGTACTCGTTATAATTTTAAAAATTTAATTAATTTGCATAATTTTTCTTCTATAAACTCTAAGACCTAAGGCAATAGTGATTAGTGACTATGTAATTAAGAAATAAGCGTCGTCCGTGGACATTAAATGAAAAACAATTAGCTTTAAATTTATATTATAAATCTCCAGCAGCATATAAATTTTTACGTTCTCAGAAAGTAAATTTACCAGGACCATCTACTATTTGTTATTGGATTGGTCAATCAAAGTTTTTACCATGTTTTAGTAAATTATTTTTTAGTCATCTTCAAAAAAAAATTTAAGTCATCTGATAATAAAGAAAAAGTGTGCTCTGTTTGTTTTGATGAGATGTATATAAAAGAATTTGTAAAATATTCAAAAGAATTTGATTATATTGAAGGTTTTGAGGACTTGGGTCATTATGGAAGGATCAATAAAAGTGCCAATTGTGTTCTAGTATTTATGGCCAGAGGTATTTATTCTCAGTGGAAAATTCCAATTGTAT